AGGGGAGGGGGATCTAAGCTGTGCTTCTGAAAAATGGGCACTCACAGTTCTGCTGCCAAGACCTTTTAGCACAGCCCTTCTTGAAGTTGAATTCCAGCAAATCTCAATTCCTTGCAGTATACAGTTTCCAGCTGTAAAATACTGTGGGTTGTAGATGGCCACCATCAGTCATGAGAGAGCTACAGCCTTCCCAGCTTCCATAAGGGAAGGTGGGTACGTGGGTTTTGTGTCTAAAGGACTTTGGGACCTCTGGACTATTCAGGCAGTGAATGGAAAGCTGGAAATATCTCTGTATAGGGATGCTGTTCCCTGTTGCCTCTGTGCTGTTCTGCCCAACGCGCTGTGTCTGGATAATGCTGGCAACTTCAAACTAGTGAAGTGTGTTTCACGCTGGGGATTTAATGTGAGTTACTGGCTAGAAGGCAAAAGCTGGATACTGAACTGTCAGCATCCAATGTGAGCTAACAGAGATCTCCTTGAAGTAGTGATGGCAAAGTAGGCATCAAAAAGGAGTCAAACTATACCTTAGTGTAGAGGGATATTTACAGCTTGGGGGGATGAGAGGGAGTGCAGTGATTTCTTTTCTTACTTTTTTTTCATTATTATTTTCTACATCTTTTTCTTCATTTAAAACCTATCTCTTTAAAAAGAAAAATCAAGAAATAAATCATTTTGCTAGTATTGTGTGACTGACCACACAGATCTTGTGCAATCCCCAAATGCTTTTCCCCTGTATCCTATAACACGTCCCTTGTGCCCAGGCAGCAACTACCCTCAGTCCCAAACATGCTCTGGTGTTGAGCATCCGGGTGGGCTTCATGTCTGGACGCAGGGGCTGAGGCTGTCCTGGACCAGCCTTGGGAGGGACCCAGACAGGATGTCCCTTCTTCTGAGCCCTTATTTCAGGTTCCCAACTATGTTTGTGCCATTGTGCTCCTTGGGGCTGGTGCAGACTTTGATGGGCTGATGGCTCCTGGGATGGGCCTGGGAGCCTTTGGGACAGGGTATTATTTAGGCTGCCCCTCCTGCTGTTGTCTTTCTGTGCTCCTTTGTGGGTGTGCAGATCAGCTTTGCTTTTATCACATAACAGAACAAGTGCGGTGAGAATTCACTGCATTTGTAGGTGGATTTGTCAAAAAATATTTCCTGAAGGTGTTAAGGATTGCTTTATGTTAGTCCATTGAACTGATGGGTTTTTATTCTTGCCTGTTAATTGCCAAATTGGCAAGGGACCAGGGACATTCTTCAGATTGGGAGTTTACAACAAAAATAAAGATCTGTTCCTTCTTTCTAAAATGTGAGAAGCCAGTGGGTCGATCCTGGTATATTTTATAATATAAACCATTAAGCTCTGCTTTCCTTTAAGACCATTTAATCACACTGGGCCCACTCTTATCCTCAGGACAGATACTGGAGGAACGTGCTCCATCTTCTGAACCTGCCCCTCTCTGCTCTTGCCTGGGTCACTGTCATTTCACATTTTCTCTGCACTGCATGCCACTGGCAACATAAATTATGTTTATTATTATTAATTATTATGTTTATTATTGTTAACCCTGACATAACTTAGTTATGCTGTAGTGTACAGGAGTGTCGGACACGGGGACAAGGGTATATATAGGAAGTGGGAGGAGGTGGGAAGGTAGCAGGAGAAATCCAGATCACAAATATCACCTTAAGCACACAATCACTTAAGGTAGCTTAATCTGCTGCTTGCCTAGGCTGGAGCCACTGCACACTGTACTTTAACTCTGTTTAACTCCCGGGGGACCATAGCTGGGATGAGAGCTGAGCACGTAGTTTTAATCTCTATACGTGAGGTCCCCAGAAATACTTTCTGGGTGCGAGGCCAAAATAGCCTGTTCAGAGAGGTACCAATGCCAAGGTCACGCAGAGGTGTGTTGATAAGGACCGTGGCTCGTATCACCCTGCTCACGTGTAATGACTTAAATTAACTATTGCAAATAGTACCAGGAGGTAAAACATTGCCGGCAGCTAGAGTTGGCAGCCCTGCCTGGTTTCCCACACCAGCTGCTGCTTTGGCATCATCCCTGCCCTTCCCACTTCCCACTGGCAAATCCTATGGAATCCCTTTTGTGAAGATTTATGTATATATGTGAGCAGAGGGGGACTCAGGGATGGTCTGAGATGCGGTGCGAGATACTGGGGAGAGTGAAAGTACTGATGTCTGGGTTGGATCCAGTGTGTGTTTTACGAAGGGAAAAGAATGGTCCCGATCCAAGTTACAGTGAACTTGATGAAAGCATTTTCCATTCATTTCAGCCTTCCTTTTCCTCAGTCCCTAAACCACATTTATACTTCCCAGAACCTTTCTGTCAGGTTATAGATATATATTCTTTTCTTTTCTATCATGAGTATCCATAGGAAACATGGGCATTCATAGGAAACTGTAAGCAACAAGCACTAAAATAGAGTATCTGGTGTTTATTTCCACACTGGAAAAGGGCCTTGGGAGTTCTGGTTTCTCACCTTCCCATCACGTGCTATAAAAGGCGGGATGATTAGGGGTTTGGAGGCACTGCAGTCTGTTGCATAAACACAGGTTTGTTTGGGGTTTGCTTTGGTTGGTTGGGTTTCTTCCCAATTCTAAATAAGTTTAACCTAAGTTCACTTAAAAAAAGATAACTAATAAAAACAAATGGTGAAATAAGTGTTTGTTTCGGAAGCCAGAACTGTTTCTTTAATGAACAATAACCCATTTTATAGGCTTTTGCAAGAAAGGCTGGACAATCCCCCCTCTCTCCTCTACTTAATAATAGAAGAGCAGGAGCTGTGTTTATAAATACTGACTTAGCCTGGCAGTAGGGGTTCCACCCGCCAGCATCGCAGCTCTTGAAGTATCTGCTCCATAAAGGGAGAATCAGTCTGTGCCTCTTATTTGGCATTGTTTTGGGAGGGTTGGAGGCTGTGGGTTTGTTTAGAGTAACAACAACAACATCTAGTTTAGTAAAACAAATGTGTTTGGGGCTGATCTCCAGCTGGAGCTGACAGGGCCGTGCATGGGGACTGTGCTCTTAAGCTCCCTTTCTACTTCTCCAAGGCACAGTAACAGCATCCCCACCACCTTTTGGGTTGTGATTCCCAAATTAAGCAGTTTGGAAGCTTTCTGGTTAGCCCCAAAACTTCCTTCTAAAAAGCTAAAGTGAGTACAGGATTGTTCCCTGGTGCTGTTTGATTCACTGGTGCAGGTGATCCCAAGCAGCCGGGGTTAATAAAGCCTTTTGTTGTCCAGCCAGACCCACTTGTCAGCCCTTGAGCTCCTGTAAATGCATTTGTAGGGGCCAGACTTAAAAGAAATCTCAAGGCATTTGGCAAACAGCCGCTGATTGAACAGCACACACTACCCATCACGTGCTGCGGATGAGAAACATGAGGTAGAGCAAAGGCTTAAGACCACTGTCTGAGGCTCCTGCCTTTGGATTTGGTTTTATGGGGCTCAGTAAATATTTACATGCCGCCTCTACAAACCAGGCCTGTGCTGTCTCCAGGACACCCTGACAAACCCCATTTGGCCTTGCAGATCCTCAGGAGAAAAGCCAGCAGCAAAGCTGGGGATGTTGTACCCAGCCCAGAGCTGTGACCACCAGATGCACTTCTCCACGCCCTCATAAGCATTGGATTTGGGTCCTGCATCAACGTGACGCACAGAACGGGTTGGAATGATGGGTTTTAACAGTCACAGTTGTAGTTTTGCTGTTTGTTTGCTGGTCTGAAGCCTGCAGCTGAGCAGTGAAGGAGACTGTTGCTGGGCTTGTTCATAATCTACATGTGTTCTGACACAGATGCTTCTGTGATGCTTTCCTTCTTTTTATTTTTAATCACAAGAGTGTTATTTAACCAATGGCACTTTGGGGGCTTTTTGCAAACATCCGAACTTTGAAAAACCACAACATGTTTTTCTTCCCACAAAACAATGGCATCGTGGGAGGAAGTGATCCACTTTTTGACTTTAAAAACTCGTTTAAATCACTGCTTCCAGCCAGGGGGGAACAGAGAGCAGCTCCGGGTCCCTCTGTGTCCCCCGACTCATTGAGGCAAAGCAGCTTCCTGCCTCTCTGCCTGGCTCAGGATCCCATGGGAACTCTCTGAGATCACCGGCTGCCCTCACCTACCCTTCCTTGGCAGGAAAAATAGCAATAATCCATGTGAAACAAAAGCCATTTATGCTTTTTCCCCTGTCCGTCCCAGCACATATAAGGTTTCTTTGAATCACGAGTCCAGCCCCATTGCTTAAGAAATTAAGCTGGTTGTGGGGAGGAAGAGAGAGGAGCAAATTCCTCTTCTTCCCAGTCCTGCTCCTCCTTCTTTGACGAATGCTTTTTGTTCAGCTGCTTTGAGTTATGAATACTTTGCTGCGTATCTTGTGGCTCTTAAGGTCAGCATAAGGGGAGGAGGTGAGTCATTGCTCAAACTGTAATTCAGATACAGCCAGAGCAAGGAGGCTCTTTCAATAAAAAGGGACTCAGTATCCACAGGTCTATTCTCTGCCCTTTCGGAAAGTTCACCCTGAAACTTCTCAGTATGCAAATACCAAGGCAGAAATCACAGCCGGTGCTGCTGTGTCAAAGGCTGTCTGAGCTGATGGCAAGTTTTGTGATGGGCAGAGAAAAACAGAGGAATTAAGTTGGGAGGAATGCAAAATAAATATTCTGACAATAGTTTTTCTGTCTTTTTTTTTTTCTGTGTGTCTCCAGGCTGCAAACTGCTCTCCATGGATTAAATGGACATCAAAGCGCGTCTCCCTGCTGGAATGTACGTCCCTGGATGATCTGATCCGATCCTTCGTGAGCTGACTTCCGAGATACAAACTAAATAACCTCCCTTTTGTTTCTACAATCTGCTTGCTTTAATTTATGGCTTGCTGCCACACAGAAAACCTAAATTCTAATGCTGATATTGCTCTCCTCTAAATCTTCTGGAACGTGGAAGGACAAGGGTCCATCTTGAATGTTTATTGGGAGAAGCTATCAGCAGTGGAAGCACTGTGAGGACGTGAAAGGAGATACACAGCTTTGCCTTTTTGAAGCCTATTTTGGGAGAAATGTAGCTTCTTCCCATATGGATGGAGTTTGTATGTTCAGCCTAAGCCTGGGGTGGTAACTGGCAGGTGCCTGCAGCATCCTTTCCTTTTTTGCCTTACATTGTGCTTGACGGCAGAACCCGAGTGGCAAAGATGGTCACCGTAAGGAGGAGGAACGTGAAAGTGTTTACCTTCGCCTTTCTGCTCATCACGGTAACGTCGTTTCTGCTGAACTACACGCACCAGGTGACCACCAACACGTGGGACCCGAGGCACCTCATCATGCAGTTTTCAGAGCAAGTCCAGAAGCTCTTCAAGTACCCCAAGAGACCCTGCAGCTGTCGCACGTGCATCTCGGAGCTGGGACGTTCCCTCTGGTTCGATCAGAGATTTAATTCAACTATGCAACCTTTTCTGACCTCACAAAATGCCTTGATCCCAGAAGACAGCTACAGGTGGTGGCTGGTAAGTGGGAGGTGTGGATGCAGCCCGGTGTTTGTGCGATGGTTCTGGTGTCAGGCTTTGAGCAATGCTGAGCAGATCCTGAGAGCTGGTTCCTGCCAAAAGCTTTTCCCATCTCAAGCTGACAAGGAAGCAGAGGTGGAAGAATGTGGGTGTTCATGCTGCTGTTTAGCTTGTAGGCTAAACACGTTCACTTGCTCCAAGGTAGAAAAGTCCCTGGCAGAGTTAGGGGGTGAACCCAGAATTTGCAAATGTTAATATTGCCTTTTTCTCCCTTCCCTTGGAAAGACTGGACTTTGTAAGCCACGTTGTATGTCTTCAGATGGTAAAAAGGGCTTTTGCCATCTGAGGTAGCAAAGCAAGCTCGTGAAGTGTGTAATTCCCTTGGGGCTCTCCCTATCATAAGTCATGGATTACCACATCCAGCTCTGGAGTCCTCAGGATAGTAAAGACATGGATCTGTTGGAGAGGGTCTGGAAGAGAGCCACAGAAATGATCAGAGGAATGGATCACCTCTTCTATGAGTAAAGGCTGAGAGTTGGGGTTGTTCAGCCTGGAGAAGAGAAGACTCTGGGGTCACCTTATTGCAGCCTTTCAGTACCTCAAAGGGGCCTATAAGAAAGATTGGGAGAGACTTTTTAGCAGGATCTGTTGTGATAGGATGAGGGGTTATGGTTTTAAACTAAAAGAGGGTTCTTTTAGTTTCTAAACTGAAAGAACTAAGATTCAGGCTGGATGTGAGGAAGAAATTCTTTACAGTGAGGTTGGTAAAACACTGGCATAGGTTGCCCAGAGAGGTGATGGATGCGCCATCCCTGCAGCCATTCAAGGCCAGGCTGGATGGATGTGGTTCTGGGCAACCTGATCTAGTTGAAGATGTCCCTGCTTATTGCAGGGCAATCACGGGTCACTGGGAAGGAGCAGCTCTAGCTTATCCTTGAGCAGGATATCAATGAGCCTGACCCAAGCATCATGAAAGCTAGCAGATGCCTTCCTCAAAAAGCACACAAGGGAAGAGGGTGTATCCCGACGTTTTACCTAATTAAAGCCTCTTTTATGTCCTCTTGAAACAAGACATCGATTAAATTAATTGCTTATGGTCTGCGCTGCTGAGCTGCTAACACATAGGTTCTGGCTGCAGTGACCCCAGTTAAGTTGCAGTTTCATTGTGACTTGCTTTCTCCTTCTGGAAAAACAGTGTCCCTCTGCCTTTCTTTGAACACATAACAGCCTGCAATGAGCACAGCAACCCTTGATACCGAATTTGGGGCTTTCAGCCCTTTCCTGGCACCCTGGGGAACCCCCTCCGCAGTCACCCACTTTCACAGTGAGGGCATTTAGGTTTGGAGGAGGTGTTAAGTGCTGTGGGAATGAGGCTGTATCTGATCACTTCTCACTCTGCTGGCTGTTGCATTTACAGAAGAGAAAAAGAGATGCCACTAAACAACAGCTTTAACTGTTGCATAAATGATACCCTCATTTTAAAATTAAACCCTCCTTTTTTTTGCTGTGAGTCTCACATACTCCAGGCGTTATCCTTTCACCATCTCCTTGACCATGACTCAGATTTCCCATCATTTGTGTTTTTTCTTGCAGCCCCCAGATGCTTTTCCTTCTGGTCCCCACATTTCCTGTGTTCAGAAACCATGTAGATGAAGCCCTTAGTGACATGGTTTAGTGATGCTCTTGGCAGTCCTGAGCTAATGGTTGGCCTTGATGATATTAAAGGTCTTTCCCAAACTAGCTGATTCTATGATTCCATAACTTTTAGCTGAGCTTTGCTGGAGCCATGAGAAGGGAAGATGACAAGCTCAAGTCCTAGTTCCACTTGCCCTGGGGTGAGGTTTTACCAGGGACCTGAGCTGACCTAACAGTTGGCAGGTTTTGGGGATGAGGTGATACCCCAGTTCCAGAGGATGAGGATGTTCATGAACACCATGAGTGTTCAGGCTGGCTGTGAAATGTGTCCTGATACTGCCTCTGCAGAAATGGGGAGCACTCAGCACCTTGAGGATATGCTGGGGACAGGATGGGATAGTCAAGGCTAAATCCTGTCATTGGTGCAGAGGCTGTGCTGGTGGGCACGGTGCCTCTGCTAGTCCCCAAGGGCTAGCACATCGCCGCTGGGCAAAACCACACTGCATTCTGCACTCAGACCTCACTCGATTTTAAACATGAGGTTTGAATGGATCCTCTCTTAAAAGAAATGGGAAAGGAAGAAAAAGCTTAGGACTCCTAGTACAGAACTTTGAATTTCTAATTCTCCTTGTAGTGGGGCTGAAACAAACAGAAAGGCACAAATACCTCACTTCAACTCAACCTGAAACAGATTTTTTTGGGGGAGGGTTGTTTCTTTTTCGGCTGAACTAAAAAACAGTGACTTTCAGGACTGCCAGAAGTGTTTTCTTTTCTCTCCCCACCCCCAAGTAAAAGCTTTTGGTTTAATTTTCAGGGCTGTCCGACCCTATTTTTATTGTTTTCATTTATTTTTTTGAATTCAGGTCAAGTTCAAAGGAAATGCACCACTTCAGAACACAAACTCAAAGCACTTTTTTCTTAGATGGTAAAAATAAAACTTCTAAGATTTCTATGCTTTTCCCACCGTATTTTTTTTTCAGCCAGAACTTATCTTCAACCAGATTGTGTGAAATATTTTGGTGTCCCCCAAAACTTTGTTGTCTATTGGAAATCAGTTCCTTACTGAAAATACATGCCCTAATCTATAGTAGATGGAGAAGGTGCCCTGACTCCTCTGAAAGATGCCTCTGGGTAAACCCAGCTCCTCATTGCAGCCTGTTTCCTATGTACATGTTGCTTTTGGGTAAGCCTTTCAAAGGCAGTGTCATTTCTACAGTAATTCCCAGGTGCATCCCGTTTGCATTCCCTTTTTCACTGTTCGTTTTTAGGCTCATCTTCAAAGCGATACTGAGATTTCAGCCGGTCTTAAATGAAACGTTGCTCATGGCCGTGTATTACTCTTGCTTGCTTTGCCAACTCAGAAATCTGTGACTTTTTACTGTATTTGTACTTAAAAGATGAGGCGTGAGGAGACCTGAGAGTTCTTAAACTTCATTTCATGCGAGAAATGACTGTGTTTGCTGTCAGGAACTGACTTCAGACATCGTGCTGGTTTCGTTATGCTGTAACTGAGGTGAGGGTGATTTCACTGGATCTGTTTGCAATGAGGCTGTGACTTTCCTGTCACAGGGAGACCCATGTGATATGCTTGGACTAAACACAGGCAGAGTCCTTGCCAGAGAGCTGTCTATCACCAGGCTCAGTATGACCTCCCTTCCCATTAACCCTGTTGTTGTATATGTGAATAAGAAACATTAGTATTAGTAAGGAGCATTAGTATCCCTCCACTTGTAGGAAAGCAAGGACTGATTTCAGAGCCAGTATTTGAGGTGAAGTGACATTTGGGGCTAAAGGATGGGGTGGTTTCACTTGCTTACAGCTCTTCACATGGCTGTCAGGATGCCTCCTTTCCTTCTTTTCCTTCCTTCCTTCCTCCTCTCTCTCTTTCTTTTCTCTTCTACTTGCATATCTCTTACCTATCCATGCGTCTGCCTTATCTTAGCATAAGATAGATGCTCAGGGACTGGGAGAGTCTCAGTGCTTTGGAAGTTGCACCTTGTGTTATGTGACACATTTCTTGCTGTTTATATTATCATCCCCACCTCCCTGAGCCGGCTCACCTGCAAGCTTTTCATTGTTGTTCCATGACACAAGTGCTGTGGATGTAAGGAATGAGGGCAAACAAAGAAACTGTGCCATAACACAGCATAGCACTTAGTTATAGCTTTCTAGTTTCATTCTCAGGGGTTTTGGCATTGTTTTTGGTGGTCAGAAGGTATTAAAAACATGAGATCAGAACCCGATGTTCTAAATCCAAAATAAGCCTGTTGAGGTTGATGGATTAAAGTTGTCATAAGTAAAATCAGGCTCAGAGTTCCCTGGCAATCTTATCTGTAGCACATTGTTCATAAACGCGACAACAATTTTTATCTCGAGTCTTATGATATTTGAGGGTTTTGCTTTGGGTTTTTTTTAGGAAGAAAGCTCTGCTTGTGGGGCCATGTGATCAGCCTATTGAAAACAAAATGTTAGTTTTTACTCATTGTGTTTGTAGGAAAAAGTGCAGTATACAGCTTAAAGACTTGTTAACCGTACGGCAGACAAAGAGGGCATTCCCAATACATGTGCTGAGCTGATTTTTAGGACAGCAGCAGAGCTACCTGGCACCTGAGTCATGCATTTTGAATGCTCTTTGTAGGAAATCTGCCCAACTTCTTGGATCACCAGAAGTCTTTAAAACTAGGATGCTCTCTGTGACACTTTGAAAGGAATACACAGGGCTCAGAGCACCGAAGGTAGCAGAAATCCAACCCAGATCCCAGGCACTAGTCCCAGTGCCTGCTACATGCCCACTCCTACCTGGTGTTGTACTGCTAGGGTGCAAGCAGGCCATTTAGACCAGCCTTGGGCATATGAGGACAGATGGATCTGGAGGTGATCCAGGTTCATGGGTCTCTCTAAGCACTGCAGTGTGCTCTGCAGAGCTGCAGACATCCTGCAACTAGAAACAAAGGCACACAGAGCTGGTGGAGGAAGGGTCTTTGCTCCTTAGAGTGGCATGGAGGTGACCTATGAGCCATGGAAGTCAGAACTCATATGCACATGGCATATGCATATCATTGTAGGATATTTACATAAAGTATGCACATTACATTCATATTTGAGAATACATATTTTTTGACAGACACAAATGATTAAACAAACCCCAAACTCTTGAAAGCCTCTATATTCTTCCCTTAATCTCTTTGATGCATGGTAATTGCAGGACATTAAATATGACAATAATAATGCCATATTTTCCAGACCAAGGAGGCATGTTTAAAATTGATGGTTTCCTTTTAACCTCTCCTTCCATCTGCAAAATGGAGATTACCTGGATTTGCCCCACCAGGCTGTTGCTAGGATTAATCTTTGTTCAATACCTTATAGCTGGGAAGCGCTGCGTCAGTATTAATGCCTCCGAACTGCTGCAGCGAGGCAATCAGTAGCTGTGTAAAAGAGACTCTAATGGGGCTTTATTCCCTCTTTATCATTTAAAAACAGTTAAAAAATTACAAAAGGCACCAACTTCCCCAGGCTGCCTGGCTGCATGCTCACAGGGCTGCAAAATGCACAGGTATACCTGCCTGTCCACTATAAACGTTGTGTCTCGGTCCATGCTCCATCTGCCTTCACATCACACCAATAATTAGAGGTTAAGCAGGATATTTTCTAGCTGTTCATAAATTGGGATTTTGAAAGTGTATTTAGTACACTGCCAAACTTGTCCATAGATGCAGGATGCACAGGTACCAGGAGAGATTTCCTTTGAGGTTCCCCTGCCTATAGCTGTGTCCTCACCACTCCAAGCTGTTAGCTCTGAGCAGCCTTGGCTGAATTCACACCGTTTGCATCCTCTTAGCTGAGTTTTGGGTATTGCTTCTTGGCAATCTCTGGCAGTGTGATGGTACCAGCGGGCTCAGGGAAGTTTCTTAAAGCAGCGGAGTCCCCTTAGTGGATGTGTGCACGCAGGGATGGGAGAATGAGCAACAGGCTGTTCCTTGGAAAGCCATTCATGGGTAAAGAAAGGAAGCGCATACACTTACAGGGAACTTTTACTTGCCCTTTTTCTTGCGTTTTTTAAATGAAAATGCAAAATCATCTGGTAACTTCTGTATTTGAAGTGGGGAGATTGTGAGGCTGGGAAGACAGGGTAGTTTGAAGATGATTAGGACACTTGCCATTTAATAGTAACTTCTAATTCAAGGGTTCGGGATTCAGTTTACCAGTACCTAAAAGGACCTAGAAGGTGGCTGGAGAGGGACTTTTGACAAGGGCATATAGGGATAGGACAAAGAGCAATGGATTTAAGCTGAAAGAGGGAAGATTTAGATTAAATATTAGGATAAAATTCTTAACTATGAGGGTGCTGAGGCAGTGGCACAGGTTGCCCAGAGAAGCTGTGGATGCGCCATCACTGGCAGTGTTCAAGGCCAGGATGGATGGGGCTTGGAACAACCTCGTCTAGTGGAGGGTGTCCCTGCCCATGGCAGGGGGCTGGAACTGGATGAGATTTAAGGTCTCTTCCACTCCAAACCATTCTGTGATTCTGTGGGTCTATGAAATTTCTCAATCTGGACTCTGAATTACAGTTTTTAACAACTTAAGGTGAAGAGTTGACTCCCAAGAGGCAGACAAATATTTTATGGAGGGCAGCGGGGTGGTTAAGTGGTCTAATGGTATTTCATATGTGGACACAAGGTGGGTTAAGATACCTTTTGTATTCAAGCAAGAGGTTAAACCTCATCTTTAGACACAGCTGTTGCTTGCACAGATTTCTGAGAAGAGCAACCATTTCACTGAGGACACAGGGTTCAGGTATTTCAGTGTATTTAAGCTCTCTCGTAGCAGCTGTATCCGTACACATATCCCTGGTACACATCTAAAGCACTTGGTGGGAGGATGCTGTTCCAGAAGAGCCACATGGCGCTGCTATGGCTCTGCCTTGCTCAGCATGGACAGACGTTCACCCAGCACTTTAGTTGATTTATGGCAAAGGCCAGACTGGTGGGAGCTTGTTAAAAGGTAAAGAAATAGACAACATTACTCCAAAAAAGGACAAAAATTTGGTGTGGGAAAGTGAACTATAATTGGCTTGTAATTGTGATGCTGTTAAGACGGTCTTTTTCAGGCAGTCAAGTAAACATTGTGCAATAAGGAGCTGGCACACAGTAAGTCTGTACTTGTAAAAGCTGTATTTGCCTTGGAGTTAACCAGCTTCATTGTCTTCTCGGCTCTGTTTTGCTGAGATGTCAAAGACTGAAGATAAGAACCAGTGCTGACTGGAGATCAGGCCTGAAAAGTGTGGTCCAATGTGATAATCATTGAGGAAATTAAAACAGAGAGCTTCTGTTCTGTTCCTGAGTTAAGGACAGATGTCTTATTGTGCAGTAAGGGTACAGTGCAATAAGGTCATCGCAGTGCACAGGTCATCATCCTGTTTGAAATCGTTGAAGGAATCTCTGTAATAATAATCTTTGCTATGGAAGTTGCGTACAACCAACAGGATGATGGTGCCCTGCTTTCAGGCTGGTGTTGGTGCCCATGTTTTAACTTGGTTGCTATACAGTTACTATAGACTGACAGCAGCATAACAGAAAGAAAAGGCAGATCCCTGTTCTGTGTAAATAGTTTCTTATAATTTTAATGCATTAAACATGTCAATACACCACATCCTTTTCTTTCCTCATGCTATCATCCTGGCTGAAAAGGCAATTTAACTTAAAAAGGGGGCTCAAGTACTCAGAATTTTCTGAAAATTACCTTCTTCGTCTGAATTTTCTCAGAGAAAATCAGTTCAAAAATAAGATTTTGGGTTGGGTTGGTTTGGTTTGTCTCTTTTGTTTGTGTTTGGGTCCGTCTCCCACTTTTTCCCCCTGCAGAATAACTCTGCTCTTAATATTTTGGTACATGTTTGGTTGTTTTCCCTTTTCTTTCTTAAAGGCACTAGAAAGTCAGATCACCTTTACAGAGGCAGAGTTTGGGTATATGCACATGTGTTCAAATAACTCAAAATAAGTTCCTATTTTAAAAAAAAGTCAGGTTTTTCTACATTATCCACCTGATACTATGCTCCATGACATCTATGAAGTCTCCATTTATTTTGAAGGCTGCAGACTCTCTAATATTAAGTGTTTTTTATATATTCAGAGTAAAATAAGGTTGGATTGGATTCATAATGAATGCACAAGAATTTAGGTAAATCAATAACCCCATGCGTAGTAATGTGGTGATAATCACAGAATGGTTTAGATTAGAAGGGACCTTAAAGCTCATCCAGTTCCAACCTCCTGCCATGGGCAGGGACACCTTCCACTAGACCAGGTTGCTCCAAGCCCCTTCCAACCTGGCCTTGAACACTGCCAGGGATGGGGCAGCCACAGCTTCTCTGGGCACCCTGTGCCAGTGCCTTAGCACCCTCACAGGGAAGAATTTCTTCCTAATACCTAATCTAAATCCCCTCTGTCAGCTTGAAGTCATTCCCCCTTGTCCTATCCCTGTATGCCCTTGTAAAAAGTCCCTGTCCAGATTTCTTGCAGGCCTCCTTTAGGTGTTGGAATACTGTTAGAAGGTCTCTCCAGAGAAATTCTAAGGACTCCATAGCATGGCTGTAACAATGGGTAGGGCATCCTGATTACTTTGCATCCCAATCACCTTGTGCAGTCCATACATGAATATATCGGCTAGCAAGGATTAGCAGGAAGATTAAGTCTATGTATGCAACATTTCTTTGTCTTCTTTTTTTCAAGTTCTTAGCCCCAGTGCTGCCTTGTAGCTCAGAGCTCTGCAGACCTGTTGTTGAATTCAGTGCAAATAAGGTTGCTTTATATAGTTCTGCAAAGAGACAGCAGGGAATTTAAACAAAAATTACAGCAATACATCTGTTTGTGTTTGCTTGTGAGAGAGAGAGCAAGAAGAATTAACAGTTCCTGGTGCCCTTGAGGGAAGCGCATTGGAAACTAAAGCCAAATTACCCCAGGCCCTTGCTGGGAGTCGTGGGAAAAGGTGTTTCTCCTCTCTCCCTCCCTGCCTCTCCTTGCCCTGGGCTGGCAGAGCAAGGGCAGAGCCTTTTGGCAGGTTTTGTGTTAGGAGCTCTTCTCCCTTTGTGAGAACCACAAGTGTGGGCAGTGCTCTCTGCCAGCACTCACAACCTCTGTAGTGACCCTCAGAGAGCAGAGCCCCAGACAGGGAGTGTGTGACCATCACCTGCCCTGCACCTTGCCTATACCTTCCTGACCTAGCCATTGTTTCCACCATGCACCACAGAGCTGCTTACAAAAGAGTTTCCCTCCATGGCAACAGGCACAATGACCAAGGTCCGGGTGGTTTTCTTCATCCTGGATGCATTTTTGGGATGATTTTACATCTCCAACCCTCAGGACTAACTCCACCATAGTTTCCTATTCACTAGCAGATGCTTTCTCCACAGTTCAGAGCAGCAGCAATATAATATCCCAATTCCACTTCTGGCATATGCTAGAATTTGAGGAAGGGGTGTCTGTGCTCCATCAGGTTCATTGAGACTCTTCAGTCCTTCCTAGGAGGGTTAAAAGAAACCTTATACCTGTCCTAATAGAAGATATCTGTCCCAAAGTGGGATTAGGCTTATAGACACCAGGCTAACATTTATTCTGCTGAGGTCAGCCCTGGGGAGAACTCATTATCTGTTCCACCATGGCTAGAAGGAGACTGAGGAGGTGTAGGAATCAAAGGAGAAAGGGGGAAAAGGAGGAACCAAGTTAAAAAAGTTAATGAAAAGGGATTTTCCACTTTTCTGTTGGGTTTTGGGGTTAACACTTCAGCTCCCAGCTGAACATGGGACACAGTGTCTGCAGGTAGATGTGAGAATGGTCTTTGAGCAGGCATTTGAAGCTACATCTTGCTTACAGAAAAGCTGTATTAGTAACCTGGAGTGATTTTTCTTCCCAACAGAAGCTGCAAGGAGAGAAAACTCCAAAGAATATTAATGCTACCCTCAAGGAATTGTTTGGGATCATTCCTGGGGATGGGGACCCCCTGCAGGAGCGAGGCACTTTCACATGCAGACGATGCGCTGTCGTGGGCAACTCTGGGAACCTGCGGCAGTCACAGTATGGCCAAGAAATTGACTCCCATGACTTTGTGCTCAGGTGAGTAGGCACCACCCCAGCTCCACATGGCTCTTGTTTAAGAGTCACTGGTGATTTGGGGGACAAGGGAGCAAATGAGATTTCAGGGGCTATCTAGTGAAATCTGGTACTTAGGTTAAATCTAAGTTCCAGGGATGTAAACTATGTGCGTTAGAGATACAACATCATGTTTTAGCTTGGAAAAGAACAATGAATAGATGTTGTAGCTTGTTCTGCCCTATCCATAATTGCCTATGTTAAAAAAAAAAAATCATAAAATTTATAGCAAAAGTTACTACAGATGGTACTTACAAGTGCTCTTTTACATATTTATTGATTGTACCAGATTTGACCTCTTGCACTGGTTCATTCTCAGACGATGGCAAAGAAAGACAAAGTCACTTTGCAATGGACAGGAGAAAACTGGTTGGCTGCAGTTACTTTGTCAATGGTTGTGTCACCTCTTCTTTTCCAAGCAGTGAAGGTTGGCTATTTTGTCCCACTTAAGTACAAGCAGGAACTAGGTGAGCAGACCTAATCACCCAGAGGGCAGCCAAGGTGTGTGGGCTAAGTTCATCTCCAATGCACTGTCCAGCTTTTATACCACAGCTATGAGCAGAGCACAATTTGGGGAGTGATGCAGTGCAGTTCAGGCCTGGAAGGGAGCAATTGCTATTGAAAATACTCTGGGAAATAACATAATCTGTAGTAGGATGCTGTGCATTGATGTCAAGAGCAAAGCAGCAGCAGATCAACACTATTTGAACTGTTAGGCCACCTTACGCCACTTGGCTTCCAGTGTGGCTTGGATGCTTTGTAGAGCCTTCTGATGACATCTAAATGTTCACAGTAATCATTTTGGGATCTGCTTCAATCAGGTGCATGCCTTGTCCTCTACCAAAGAACCTCCTGAAGGCAGAGGCAGCCAACCTGGTCTTCAGATCCGTGAAGTGAAGAGCTCTAGACATTAGTCCTGCAAGTTGCAAATGTGAGGCAGTTGAGGTGCATCTATGCTTAACTCTGTGTCCTTTGCTATGGAGACAGCCCCGTTTCTGTGTGAACTTTCTTATCTTACCTGACCTATATTTCCAGATTCATGCAGAAAAAGCTTTGCTAGACTCAAAAAGCTATATTTTTAAGTAGTAACTAAGGAGTAACACACTCAGTGTCTGCTCTAAGGCTTTGTTCTTTCCGTAGCTGTACATCCCTGGGAAGGGAGAAACTCCCTGTGACTTGGAATTGAACCTGCCAGTTCTGGATTTATCAAACCAGATCTGAAAGGATGGCACAAAGCTTTAGGATTCATTGTGGAAATTTGTGACTAGAGAAGGTGACCCTTCTGTGTGAATCCAACAGACAAAATCTCTGGTGACCTGATATCCACTTCCACGTGTTGTGGCAATAAAGCCAAGCACTGAGAAGAGCCAGCGAGTCTGAGGGGACTCCTTTCCTTCCACACACTGTGTTCCAGCCCACTCCTTTTTGTTTAACTATCTACTTTCATGAGAGAAGGAAGTTCTGGCTCGTTCCTTCCTGCTGAGACTGGGTGTGAGCAGTGCCTTAGACCATGTCACGCAGGCAGATCTACCAAAGTTGGTGGGGAAGGTACATAGACCTGAGGGCAGGTTGTGAGTAAGATAACCTAGATGCCACCCTTGGCTTTGTCCTGATGGAAAGCAAACCCCGTATTGTAAACCTTAGACTGACTAATCTCAAGATAAAACATAGTACGTCTCCTGCTTTGCTAGTATTTCTACACAATACAATGTGGGTGGCTGGCAGGGAAGAGGCTAACTAACTCAGTAACAAGTCCATGCAGTCTGGTAGGCTATTCTGCCTATGCTAGTAACTCTTCTTGTGGAAGTTAGAAGAAACTTAACTAATTCATGTGAGGGAACACTGCAATAGCACAGCCTGGCATAGATTTGGTAATCATATCTTACCTCTCCTGTTCTCGGTGACCAGATCTGCATGTTATCTGGCAATGTATGAAGCTCCTCATCACCTTGTCACCTACATCTTCTTGTCCTCCCTGCACTTCTGCCAGGGTTTGTGCTAATGTCTCTGCAGAAGACTCCACTGGGCTGCAGGGAAACCCATTCTGGTCTGAGCCAGGTTGGGGGTTACTCCATGGTGTTAAACAGCACCATGAATTCGTGCAAGGTTAGTCAGAGATCTCTGATTTGCATAACACTGCACCAGAGAAACATGCAAATCTCTACCTGTCTGGAGCTAATACATCAGGAAAGGAGCTGCTGATGTGTCCCCAGATTTGCTTTCAGAAGTGTACACAAGCATAGAGACATTTCTGCAGCCCAGAGTTCAGAAACACACCCTCTTCCCTGAGACACCCAATATAAGGTAGCCCTGTTTGGCCAATTCATTTTGACTGAGCCCTGGTGGGACCTGGGCAGATCTCCATGCAGTGACCCTAGGGTTACCTAAAGCACACCACATGTATGTAGAATCACCCTAAGTAGATGAATTGAAGTTGGAGGACTTACTGTAAAGTCAGCTTTGAGTAGATGAAGTGTCAGCAAGCAGGTCCTGGATTTGTCACTGTGGCTTTGGTGCGTTTTAATGGGAGAACCATAATGAATATTTGCTGCTCTTCATCTCACATTACATGGTTTGTTACCTTGACCCAAGACTGCTAAATACACCCATCCAGATTGGGAAGGGGATGAAGCTGCAAAAAGTCAAGCTGATAGACTTCAGGACAATGATTTTCTCTCTACTGGAGGCTGCAGCTTTAGGATGGAAGGAGATGAGTTCTCATGGTCACCACTTTTTTGATCAGCTCTCTGCTGACTGTCAAGGGAAGGCAGGGAAGTGCTCAGAGATACACCTGCTTGGTAGACACTCCCATTCAGTCCAAGGAAAACCACACTACAGCTGAGCTTTCATTTACTGTTAGTTTGTCCACATGGGTGATGGTCACTGAAGACCCCTGCACCCTGTCAAGCCTGTCTGAAGAACCTGTGTACAGCACTTTGCTTAGCCATGGGAGCATTTTCCTGCCTTTCTCAGACAAATTATTTGGGGAAGATTTGCACGTGTTTGTACCTAATTCTTGTCCCACTTCTTCCCTGTCTTCCCTTCTTACTTTTGGGCTGCAGAATGAACCGTGCCCCCACGGCTGGCTATGAATCGGATGTTGGGAGCAAGACCACGCACCACTTCGTTTACCCTGAGAGCTACAAAGAGCTGGCAGAAAACGTGAGCATGATCCTGATCCCCTTCAAAACGCTGGACCTGCACTGGGTTGTCACCGCGCTCACCACAGGCACCATCAACTTGTGAGTAAGGGCAGGGCTGAAGGGGTGGGAGCACCTCATGTTGCTTTAGGAGATAACACTGGGCAAATCCCTGCTTCTAATAAGGCCTAGGGTAGCTTTACAGACCCTCTAAGGTCAGAGTTTAGTCCTGAACACTTGCTTTCTAGGAACAGCTCAATGTTATGGTGCAGTCTTTGAGTTTGGTTTGTCTTTCCTGATGGAATGTGATTGAGAGACGTGCAGAGGGGAATATTGCTTTGTGTGTCACCTGCGTGTCTTAGCTTTAAATTCACATGTTCTACCTGCCAATAATGGGCCACATTGGTATTTATTTTCCATTTCTTTATGAGTGCTTTCAGAAGTAAATGTTCACCTGTTCACCATTTAATACATTTATGGCAGCACATAATGTGAACAAAGTGCATGTTTCTTGCGGACACCTGTTAGCAGATTTCCTCCCTTGCTGTAAGCTGGCTTTTCCTAATCCAGAGAATGAAATAACATGACATTCGTACTGTGTACAGGGTTATCTGTTGGATGTAAAGCCACAGTCTTGTGGGATTGCTCGGTGCACCCTGCTACACATCAGATCACATTACTTTATTCCAGAGAGAATTATTTCAAGACATTTCAACTTTTTTCCCAATTTCAGTGTCTCAGAAGATTAAAAACTTGGGACAGTAAGTCCTTGTTGACTGAGAACAAGACCTGCTTCACATTTTTAAGGAAAATTTTTGATGGGACAACTGGAATTTTACTTCTTTTATTCTTTTCTCTCTTTGCGTTTGTGTTTTAGGTTCTTTTCACATCTTATTCTCTTAACTTGTAACAAATCTGATTTATTGTCTTTCTACCTTTTTTTTTTGCCACTTAGCATATACAGTCATAAGCTGTCTTGAAAAGCATCCATCTTCAGGATCCACTCGTAACTTGGAAGGAAACTAAGCCCACTCAGAAAACTGGCTAAAACAATACCCAGTGTCGCTCTTGATGTGACAGGTCTTTCCTCTTCAGTCTGCAAAGCAGTGAAGTGGTTCTGCAAGAGCACTCCAGGCTCTGGAGGAAGGCTCTTCCCCCTGCAGGTCCTTGCCGTTGCAAGCATCCTTTCTTCTGCATTATCGCCCCTCAAACACACTTCTTTGTGTGCTGGTGGGGGAGTTCTTATCTGTTTGCCCATGGGTCCACTGCAGACTGCACCTGGAACCAGCTATCGAGCTCCTTCTCAGCCTCCCTGATGCTCCGCATCCTCCTCACTGTCTCCTACAGCTCAGCTACCTGCTGCTACCTATACATATATCAGGAGATATATGTAGGAGGTCCTACACCTGGGCACACATCTTCCAAGCAGGTCTGCTGCCTGTCCCTGTACTAGGAGAAAAGCCTGGGCTCTTCCTGCAACCTGAGGTCTACACTGCAAGTTGCGTGAGCCCTTAGCCTCTCAGGAAGACATAGCTGGTTGACCGCAAGGCAGTCACAGGAAAGGAAAAGCATCTTTGCTTAATAAACTACAGGATGCATTATATATTCATAGTTTGATTGTATACATGGGCTTGGTAAGCAGCTGGTATCCATTAGTGTGTGAGTATTTAACCATATGAAAGAAATACCATATTCAAAGCAAGGAAATTGCATAATGAATAAGCTGGTGTACACTGGAATAATAAAACCAGAAAATCATAAACACACGAATCATAACAGTAAATGTAACATGATTTGAAGCTAGCAGAAGAAACCTATGGACATTAAGTACACAATGTCAGATACAGTATATAAGGAAATTGTTGATTGCCCATTTTCAAAGGGGAGAAGGCATGAAATAAAAATAAAAAACATCTTAAATACAGTATTTTAGAAAGGAAGAAATACCTCCTTACCCCTCCCTGTGGGACATTATGCCCTGTGCAGAGGCTGCATAGGATCAACTGAGTGAGGTTAGGTTAAGAAGAACCTAAGTTATCCCAAGACAAGCAAGATAAGCATCCTGTATTGGTTAGACTTTTACGCAGTGTTTAATTTTCTGTATCCCATTCAAATGAAGTAATAATTTCCTAAGACTCAAAACCTGTGAATTAATCATATTCTCCTCCCAGTAGTATTACAATTCAAGCAATTTTTACGGTTCAAAATGAAAGCCAGACTGCAGGTAGCCTTAATAGTAGATTGAATTGGTAGCTGAATGATTCTCTCAGACATGTCCCATTTGAGTGATGGATGTCCCATTTCAAAGTGGCTCTCTAAGACTGAGCATTATCTTAGAAAAGACCAAGAAAAGCCTCTTGGGACAGAAAAACTTCAGGCCCTCATCGGTCATATTTAGTGCAGCTGCTTCAACTTGCCTTCTGCAAGGAATCTCCTCAGTGAGAAACGTTCCACATATCTCTGCTTGATTTGGCAAAGAGCAATTTGGGTATTCCTTAGAATGTTCTATATCTTCTACTTGGGTAAAACAGTAAATCTCCTGTACAAGGCGGCCAGTAATAATGGCACATTTTACTAGAGCCCTCCAGAGTGGCTCATAGACGTTTTCCATGTTTCCCACCTGTAGCCACCTTCATCACAGGCTTCACTCTTTGCCCTGCTCCTGTGGCATTTGCTGCATCACTCACTCCCTGGCTGCTATGTAGCCCAGGTTTTACACAGGTCTCCATTTGGTCTTGCCCAGCGTGCCAGTACTTTCCATGCAGATTTATGGAATTCTGCAGCCAAGTGACAGCAGGACTTGGATATTACTTCTGAAAAAAATGAAATATTCCATGATTAAAGTAACTAACATCATCTGGCAAGAGCTGGAGCAGTCTTCTGGCTGGATCAGAGCTGTGTCAAATACTACCTTGAGTACTGCATACCATTCTCTGGTCATCTATTGTACCTAGCCAGATGTCCATGAAATATGAACCCAATGTTTGCTTCACATCACCTTCATAGAAAAGATAGGCTGCTTATTTATATAGTAATGAGAAGATTTTACCAGCAAAGAAGCATTTGGGATCACCAAGCCTACTGACTTTGCTAATCAAGGTCAGGTGTGGGAAGCAAATGCAAGGGAGATTTGCTTAGAGCAGATCAAGAAGTCTGCATGGGTGTCTCTTCCCCATTAGCATCTTGTGTCACATCTCTGGAGAGCTGGAGCCCACCTGTCACCTCTAACATTGCATCCAGCCCAGAGCAGCGATTGCAGGGCAAGGATGCTCAGAAGTACCTAAGCAGATGAGGACATTGCCAGGTCACCACTGGTTTGGGAAGACTTAGGCTAATGTTTCAAAATGCTGATGATCCATGGTTGAAAGAGAAATAAAACCTTAATGACAGGAACATTGATGTTAAAAAAATCAAGTGAAAACATTTAGACTGAACTAATGGAAGGCTTTGGCAATTTACTAGAGCCCATCTACAGAGTATGTAGAGTATATTTTGGGATATACCCCAATGACAAGGCCAGGTCCCCAGAACATTTTCCCCTGAAACAGACTCAGGGAGATTCTCTTTTTCCAGCCCTCGTGATGAGCTGTGCAATGCCAGCATGCACGGGGCATGACATGGGGAAGAAAAGACTTCTTTTGTTTCCAAGACATGACTTGTGATTTCAACCCAGTCATAAGGTATGACTTGGAAGTTTTATGCTGGGAACTGCACAAAGCCTTCGATGTCCTCATGGGGAAGAAGAGAATAGCTTGCTGGTGAGGGGCTGTGTACTGGCAATGCCGGAGTTGCACATAACCACAGAAATTAGGAACTTTACTACCACCTACTCTGAAAATCATGTAAGAGCTACAGGTATTAGGAGGGGAAAAGTCTCCCCCTGGTGGGAAAAGCCTTTTCTGACCTGAAATTAAATGCAAAACCCTTCTGTTCATCAAAGTGCAAATACTGCAACAGTCATGATCCAAGAGGTAGAAGTCATGGTTCCAAGTAGTATTGATTTTACAGTATATTGCAACTAAATCTTTGATGCCTTCCTGTCAATAATTAACTTGAATATTTAAAAATGGAATGGCTTCCTATAAATGTGCTTCAGCAACAGCTCAGTTCTCATGCTGCATTTATGAATTGCAGCTTCATTTTCCAACAACTTCTTGTATTTATTACTTTCAAATAAGTTCAATTTATTGCTGTGCATGAAGAATATTCTTTCTTTCTTTGGAAATACATGAAGATATTAATACGTTGGGCTCTTACTAATCTTGGTGGTTTGTGTTTGTTTTTAACAGTACATATGTTCCAGTTCCACGGAAAATCAAAGTCAAAAAAGAAAAGGTGAGCAATGCTGCTTTATGGTTTCGTTCTGCTAATCCACTTGTAGGTCTTTTGCCTCTTTGGGACATTGCAAGAATCCATAAAAACTCATAAAAACTGCAACCAAAATCCACACACATTACAAGGCTCAGCTAAACTAAAGCTTTAGCTCCTATGTGCCATTCAGTCCATAGATCAACCACTAAATAACTGAGGTTGGAAAGAAACTGATGCTCTGACTATGCTGTTGCATTACCGCTGTTCTGAAGGTGGCATTGCTTCCTCTAGGACTGCTCAAAGACATTTAAGGTGCACTGCTGGCCAACAGTGCTCACCTTCCTCAGTATTTGCTCTGTTCCCACTTCATGTAATGACACTTTGAGCTCATATACTAATGAGTAGACAGCCTTGGGGGGGGGGGGGGGGGGTTAAGTAATTTGACTAAACTAAGGGTGTTTCACAGTCGTTGTCCAGTTCTTTATAACAAAGAGCAAAGTGAACTCTGAACAAAGTTCTGTGTTTTCGAGTCAGTGGAGAGAGAATTCATGATGTTGTCAATGGCTCTTGAGGAAGGCTCATAGCCCACAGCTGTAATAACTACCTGTACCCAATTAAACAGCTTGGAGACTGGGCTTAGGCCAAGTCCCTGCTGGTTTTGTCCCGGGTGAATTAATACTCTCCCAGGCAATGTTCAAGTAGCATAGATAGGGGAATATTCCCTGTTTTGCACAGGGACAGAATTGAGTGATGTGGACATGATCTGTGCCGTGCCACTTCCCTCAAGGCTAACAAAACACTTCTGACTCATTTAATTTCATCGTGTGGATGTGTAGAAGGCAATCAGTCAGGGGATTTCACTTCTCTGCAAAGGCTGAGGAAAGATGTACAAAGCTGGTCCCCACCCTACAGCACTCAGAAGAGAGTCCACGTCATGTATATTGACTATCACCCAACTATGCTGTGGTTTAATATACATGTCCTACTGTTGGAGTTAGGATTTCCCATGGGGCAGAATGGTCATGTTGGACGATTAGTCCCCAAGCAAAGACTTTTGTTGTAGCTGCATGGTTTGAGGACATAATCAAGGCAGACTATGTAGCGAGAAGAAGAACACTTCTTCCGTAGACCTTCCAGCAAAATACAAATCTCATTCTCACAGCCTTTGAAGAGGCTGGTTTTCTAAGGAGCTCAGGCGCCTAATATCTCAAGGGCTGATAAAGTATGTCATTAGCCCCAGAGCATTGAAATTACAAATTAAAGCACATGTTCTCCATTCAGGAGGCCAGGTTTTGCCGAAGGCTTCAAATGAGACTTTTAACCAGTATCAGTTCATATTGCTGTGCTTCAAACAGTGGACCTATAGAAGGCATTAAATAATCACTTAGCACATCCCTAGCTGTTGTGAGAAACACAGTAACCTCTGCAAAACCTATGTGAGATGCACTGTGGCAGGTTGTTAAACTCAAGTCACAGTCAAGTAGCACCAGGCCAGCCTATGGCTGATGATATGCAGCGGCTTCCTGAGCAGGGAGATGAGAACCTTGTATTTCTTCCCACACTGTGCAATGCAGAACACCCTGTGAGAAGCGATTACACGCAGATACAGTATCAGCAATTAACCTCTGACTCTGTAAAAGGGAAAGCCCTGCAGCTAACGAGATAGCACTGAAAGCCATCACTTTAATTACAAACACAGCATGGAGAGAACCTCCTCTCTTTGCCTCATTCAGGGAAAGGGGTTGAAACCAAGGGCTCCCACCAGTCCTTGGATTTATTGTACACTCAGGTCTGATCTTAAGTGCTCTCTGTTCATTATCTGATCTCATCATTTCCCTAGGGGATAACCAAGTGCAATTTATGTGTGGAAAAACAGCATGTTTGGAAAACAGGAGAAATCCTGCTATTCAACCTGAAAGTTTACACCTGACCCCTGGTTTCCTTAGATCTGTATCTACAGAGGTACCAAGACATGTTTGACATATTGTGCAGAAGATGCAGTTGCTCCTACGTTCCCACCCAAGTTATAGTTGGACTCAATGATCTTAAGGGTCTTTACCAACCTAGGTGATTCTATGATTCTATGAAATCTGGTATGGCATCTTAAACTTCCCTTGCTCAGGATTCCAACTCCCCAGAGCTCACCTGCATTACAACAGGATGCTGCAGGGAGAGTTAAGTGCCCAGTTTTCCTCTTATCTGTGCCATTTCATACCCTTTGGTTTCGTTAGGAACCACCCAGGATTTACACTAGTGTAAGCAGGTAGGGTATCAAGACCAAGGAAGGAATATTCACATGTAATTCAATATTCACGCTCATTCATATTTTCCATGTGTAACTGCACATGGAAAGTGTTCTTGAATGCATTTTAACTATGGGATTTTATTTTTCCGTTTCACCTGCCCTCAAGGAATAACTATTACTCCTTTCTGCTGGGCTCCCCTACCCCAATGTCCTTTAGGGATGACATGCTACCATTATTATTTTCCCAGGGTATTTATTTATGGGTCTTTCTCTCCAATTTTGCCTAGATCCTGGTTTATAATCCAGCTTTTATGAAATATGTCTATGAAAACTGGCTTGAGCATCATGGAAGATACCCATCCACGGGCCTTCTGTCTTTGATGTTTGCACTTCATGTATGCGATGAGGTAAAGTCTGGCTGTGTTTGGATATATAGACAAAAACTCAGGACATTTCACACTGAAGTGTCAGGAACATGCCCTTGCCCTTCACTCAGCCTTTATTTCTCTCCCTCCCATCTTCTCCACCATTCGCTTCTTTGAACAGATGCAGAGTCCTCAGTAACATGCACGTATGCTCAAATGGTGGTGATGGATTATGGTGTTTTGATCACCTGAGGTCAAATATCATACTCCGGGTACAGGAGTGTGTTTTTTATACTGCTAAGCAAATACTCACAGAGAGAAATATCCTTTTCTGTCCGAGTTCAGGTATGGTGGTGGTCTCAACATAGCTTAGGATGTAATGTCCCTTGAGCCATTATTCTGTGGTTGCATCATCTCATGCAGCAGAATTGCGTGGCACACCACCTTGGTCCTATAGATAAACTGAGAATCAAGAATGTTTCTTTGACATTCCAGATGAAAACCAATTGCTTCCCAGGCTAACACTAGTTCCCTCTTACTTCCTAGGTGAATGTGTATGGTTTTGGAGCAGACAGCAAAGGACACTGGCATCACTACTGGGAAAACAACGCCTCAGCCGGGGCTTTCCGGAAGACGGGTGTCCATGATGGGGATTTTGAGTTCAATTTAACTTTGACTCTCGCATCCATTGAAAAAATAAGCTTTTTCAAGGGCAGATGACCCTGGCCATGGGGAGAAGTGGGGGCTGCAATTTCCAACATGCAGCAGAACAAGGCTCGGTGAAGATGATGTGGGCTCCAGCCAGGTTTGAACGCGTGAATCTGCGGTGGATTCGGAGCATCTCACTGCTGCAATGCTCACCGCAGGGAGCCCGGCCGAGGACCGGCTTTCACGCTGCACGTGATCTCCTATCCACAGATAGCTGGGAACTACCAATCAGTTGTGGGAATAAATGAATCTCTGCTTAGGCTCTACAGCTTGATTCCTGACTGACTGATGAAAGATCTGCCTGTTGCAAATAGGGGAAACCTGGGCACAGCAGCTGCTGGTTGTGTGTCCGTTCTTTCCTCGAGTAAGGCAAGAGATCTTTGAAGAAGAGTGAAAACTTCTGGGACTTGAGACCTGCTTGGGCAGCTGTTAACATCATAGTAAGGATTACCTCAAAGAAATGAATTCACTTCTGCTGTTGATCTTTTTGAACTGTTTCTGCTGTTTGCTGTTACTACTTTTGGTTTCATGCTGTGTTAAGGAAAAAACATGATGAAGTTGCCTGGAGTAGTAAATATTTCAACCATTGCCTCATTCTGCATTGATAGCATTTATAAACACGGAGCAAATCAGGCCCAATCATATATTATTTAATATTGCTTCCTATACAGCCATAATGAGACAGGAAACTCCAGCAAAAAATTGGCCTTTTTAGCCACTTGTTTGTCTTGTTTAGTTACATATAATCTTTATTTCTTTTTTGTTTGGTGGAAAACACTCTGGAATGCTCATTTTTATTTAATCGATTGAAGGTTGGAATGTGGACTGTTTTCTTTCAGTCATTTATATGTGCCTTTTCAATTGTGCAACAGATGTGATTTTCTTTTTTTAAGATGAGAAACCCTAAATTAAACTTTTTTATAAGGGGGGGGGGAATTAACCAAAGTGTAGCCTCCATGTGGTATACTTTTGTAGTCAAAACCAATAGCGACAGCTCCTATATTGTGTTTGAGCAAACACAAACAAGACTCATTTTTAAAGGTAGCTTTTACCTTTTTTATGGGAAAATATCCCAAAAGTTCCAAGGAAACTTTTTCCTCTTATTTTTTTACAATTCTAGAAAGTGATATCTCCTTACAAGGTCTCTAAAAGTGGAAGAAATATCATGGGTTGGAATATCAGCTACTAATACACCAAGAATCTTTTGCCCTGTAGCAGTGTCTACAAGAACACAATCTACACAAGCTGATCCTACAGTGTAAGCCAGACTTCAAAATCATGTCCATCTCTGGAGGAAGGAGTGTATTAATGTCAGTACCTGTAGGCAGTGAGAGGAGGGAACCGACAGCAGAGATTTTGTATCTTCTGATTTTCATTGGAATCAATGCTTTTAATCCTCAAGGACAGATAAAGTGTGAATCCAAGAACAGAGTTCAGGTAATGAAGAAGGGAGAACAGGTTTTTATCCTTCTTGATATCATGAAAAATAGGATTCATGGATTATTGACCCATTTTCACCTCTGGTGAAGACAGGGGAGTTCTTGCCACAGACTTCAAGGGACTTCCAATCAGGCTTGGGAAAAAAAAATGGCATATTTCATTTTTAATGTATTACATATTTCATTTTTTTAATGTATGGCATATTTCATTTTTAATGTAGTACAGCGGTTGGGGTGTGTGGCAATTTAGAAATCATTATCTAAATGACTCCTCTCTCATGCACCAGTTGTGGCAGCATGACCAAGCAGATAAGTATTTGAGCTCAGTGAAAGCACAGCCCTTCAACCAGTGATGTGCTTCAGGCCAATATTTATCCCCTTGTTTTTCCGTGCCAATTGGTAACAGTGAGCTCCCCTCAAAGGCAGGAATTCATGGCACAATGACATGGTCAGTCAGAATATCCCTAGTTTGGGGATATTGCACTTGCTGACATGACCTGCCCACATGAGTATTACTGGACTCGCAACATATAAAGAGCCGAGGATGCCAAACGTCTGCACAGAGAACTGGGTTTCCGTTGCTGTACACACACAGCCCTTCAGGTTTGCAATATGGAAAAGGCAGGATTTTCACATCTTCATGCTGAGACCTGTTCATCAACCTCATGTCAAGAAGCCCTTTCCCAGTATGGTGGCCAGCAGAACTCACCTGCATGTCACAGGTGCAGCAAATTCAATGGGCTTACTGTCTTCTACATGTCCTTTGTGAAAGGGTGAAACATTTCTACCTGAACCATGTTTGTTTGATTGATTTAAGCATTCCCACTGGTTTAGTTGTTGTTAATCAATGTGCTTCTGGTGAGATGTCACAGTAATACAAGCAAAGCAACTATAAGAGGAAAAAGACTCCATGGAAGATTCTAATGGTATCTCTCATGGGGGTTTGGTACCCAAATCCCATTGATTTGGGTTTCTTTTTAAACACAGGTGACAGTTTGGGATCAAAGACAGTGGTAAATTAATCAGCTGTCTTCTAGCCCATGCTGTTCTGAACATTTCCTTTTGCTGTCCAAATTAAATTTCCAGTTTTCCCTGAATATTCTCCCTCTGACAGCACATATAAAACATCATGGCGTCTACGATCGTGGGTAGATTTAGTGTCTTCACCATGGAACAAGCTGCAATTCCTATCTAATTCTCTTGCCAAGAGCAAGCAGTAGCTGTGTACCACTGATGCCCGTTTTTCAGAGCGTGTGGAGAGCAGAGTGGACCTCTCCAGCTGCAGGATGAGGGATAGTCTGTGCCATCACATTTCTATTCCAGAGGAACATTTTCTAGAGTCCTTTAGGCAACTGACTGTTCTGTCGGATATTTGTCTCAGTTCCGCCACAATTTTGCTGCTTTTTCAAATGCCTTCAGAATAAGGAGATTCCAACAGATGATGCTGAGGGAAGACTTAATTCCCACTGCCAATGTGGAAGACTCTGTTCCTGCTGGAAACTTCCTGGGTTTATTTTGTCAAAGAGAACTGCAATGGAAGACATTTAGCAATGTGTCAAGGTTTCAAACTCTTGTACTGTATTTGCCACCACTGCAAAGTTTCTGAAGCACTCCTGGAATGTCTCTTATGTTTTTTACCAAAGCCAAATCTCTTGAGCACTTTTTTTCTCCCATGACCAGATTTTCTTCCTATTTTTCTTTGACTACACAATCGATTATGATAATAAATTCTTTTTCTCTGATGATGGGGAGTCTCATTCAGTCATTCTTTGACTTTTTATTTATTTAATATTTCAGTATGATACGAATCAAAATAAATTTTTTATTGTAACCAAAACAAAGGTGTTTGTGCACACTTCTTCCCACAATACTCACATTAGCTCCTGGGACCTCCTCTATCACATAAGGGTGTAATGAACTCTTCAGTCACATCAGCATGCTTCAGCCTGCTGGAAAGCTTGTGGTGATGGGCATTACACTGCTCAGTTTTATGTCAGCTCTAGGACTCTCTGGAGAAAACACTTAAGCTTTATACATGTATGGTCTCCTGATGGATCATGCTCTATTTAGGTGATAAGTATAAGGGAAATCAGGGCAGACTCAAAAAGCCATAACTTGAGATTCAACTCACTGTTCTCTTGACAGACCTGGCTCCCTTTGTAGGAGAGATGCTGAGGATCCACCCAGGGTCCCTATTTCAAGGGCACTTCAGTCATGAATGGCCTAGGCTGTCCATTAGAAGAATCCATCTAGAGGATGGACATCTTTGATCAGGTATCATTTTAACATGACACACCACCTCATCTGCATGACCATGGCTTTACATGGGGAGATGCTACCTTAGCTATTTCTCATGGGTGTCATAAGCTGTTCAGTTGTCTTGTGTTCTGTTTCCATTCATTAAGGGCATGAGTCAGATAGATGGCCTAGCACTGATGCGACTTGCCCATTGAAATGTGACAAACCTGCTTGATAAGCAGTAGAAACTCCAGAAGTCATAGCAGGGGAGCTTCTATTCAGATACAGACAACAGTGTAATGGTCACAGTAAGGAGCTCAGGACGCTCCTGTTCAGGTAAGGCAATGGTCTGATGGTCACAGTAGGAGCTGCTTTCCAGTGGGACCTTCAGAGGACCATGTTCTCAGGAGCTGCTTCATGCATTAAACTCAGGGTCTAAACATGTTGCATCAGTGAGATATTAACCACCATTAATGGATACAGCCCCACCAGCATCACACTTGTTGGAAATCATAGAATCATAGAATCACAGAATAGTTTGGGTTGGAAAGGACCTTAAGATCATCCAGTTCCAACCCCCCCGCCATGGGCAGGGACACCTCACACTAAACCATGTCACCCAAGGCTCTGTCCAACCTGGCCTTGAACACTGCCAGGGATGGAGCATTCACAACTTCCTTGGGCAACCCATTCCAATGCCTCACCATCCTTACAGTAAAGAACTTCTTCCTTATATCCAGTCTAAATGAATGGCAAGTAGAAGCACAGAAGTCTGAGAAGCTATCCCAGTCATTCCAGGTCCCAAAGCCTAGTTTCTGCCCAGAGCTTTTATAACCAGGCTGGTCACAGGGTTGTTCCAAACAGAGAAAGCAGGAGCATTAACCTGGGGTAGATACTGAACTGGACTATCCTTCACAGTGGCTCTGTACCTTCGTACTTGCCACTGTGGAGAGGAGGTAAAAAGAATTTCATAGAATCATAGAGTGGTTTGGGTTGGAAAGGACCTTAAGATCATTCAGCTCCCACCCCCCCCCGCCATGGGCAGGGACACCTCACACTAAGCCATGTCACCCAAGGCTCTGTCCAACCTGGCCTTGAACACTGCCAGCGATAGAGATTTTACCACTTCTTTAGGCAACCCATTCCAGTGCCTCACCACCCTCACAGTAAAGAACTTCTTCCATATGTCTAACCTGAAATTCTGTTTAAGTTTGAGCCCATCACCCCTTGTCCTATCACTACAGTCCCTAATGAAGAGTCCCTCTCCAGCATCCTTGTAGGCCCCCTTCAGATACTGGAAGGCTGCTGAGGTCTCCACGCAGCTTCTGTTCTCTGTCACCCTTAGCAAAGGAAAAGGAAGTGTTGTATATAAAGGGAACAGCTTGCTGTTGAAAAATCACTTGGTTTCAGGTCCATGCACAAGGAGTGCACTGAAATGCAGCTTCCAGGTCTGCAATGCTTTCATCAGGAAAGTAATTTGCATAAAATTACCATCTGAAGACCCCCTGAGACCACTAAGACATGCAGCGACAACAGCAACATTCAGACAGATGGACCGACCACAGGAGCTGGACAAAGGACTTTGCTTATACCATCAAATGAAGAAATAAAGTACCCACAGGGGAACAATATGGCTTCAGTTCATGGCATAGGTTCCTTTGATGGCTCACATTCAGGATAGCAATTAAACCCAACGAATGAAAAGGCAAGGGAGTCCCATGCCACCTTTAAAAATCTCTGTTTTCACTTGTCTTTCCTGCAGACTTTCAGGGAGCAGATCTCATTACCTCTTCTTATCTCCAGGCAATGTGAAATAAAATGTGAAAAGTTCTCCAAGGTTAGATACTTCTATGCAGAAGCAAATCTCAGTGCTTTCAGTTTAATTTTCTCATATAGGAAAATTCACTGTGTTGCTTTACTCCTTAGTTTCTAAAGTAACCTTTGGCTGGCAGAATATAAATATATCCATATGGGAATATGTCTGTGTCTGTGACATTAACACTCCTACTAAGACAGGACATCTCCCAGAATAGTTACTCTTTCCACATAATCAGACTCCAGAGTTACACAGCAACTACCAGCCATCTCCCTGTCCACAGAGACACTAAATCAGTAACAAAAGCATCCCATCCTATGCCACTAATGCTGCAGGTCCATCACGTTCCTCCAAGGATGTCCAAACCAAGGCTCCAAAGGCATCCTCCAAAGACACCCCAACCAAACCACCAAAATGCCTTAGAGCGTTTTCTCCCATGTGGAATTTTGTGTTTCCCTCCTTACCTTCCTGAGATTGTTCCCCAAAAGCTGTCACCATCCAGGGGAGCTGCACATTGCTGCCTCAGCCCAAACCTGCAGTCTGGGGCTGGGTGTTTGAATGGACTGGCCACATTTGAGCTGTGCTTTGAAGCACATCCAGTTTGGAGCCACAGCGTATGTTCAGCCTGCGCACATGCCTGAGTGGTAGAAAACAGTGGAAAAAGTGTTTTCCACTCCTATTTCTTCTTTGCGCGTTGGAGGACTTTGCATAACTCATCCTTATGTTCAGATGTCAGAGGGTGGGTATGTGTGAGCAAGCTCTCCAAGACACTGATGGGGCACCAAGCTTCTGCCTGCAGCAGTGGAGGCACAGGCAGATGATGGTTCATCACTGGGAACATCTAAGAGTTGGTTGTGGAGAGAAGTTCTGCAAGCTGACAGGCTCTGTTGTTTGAGGATTTGATTTGAATAGGTAGGTTAAGGAAATAGAAATAAATAGAGGTAAATGTCAAGACAGGCTAAATAGAAATAAAGGCAATAGAGCTTCTAGAAAAAATTGGGGGAAAAAATAGCATTTTAACCATGTGTTTAGTCCATCAAAGTAGGTGAGCCAGGAGTGAGTTAGGCTGATGATGCTTTGGGGA